TAATGGTAAACTCCCACGCTACCTGAACAAAATTATCTCCTCGGCTGTTCCCATCTCCTCTAACCTCCGATCCAGTACCAGCACTTTATTTAGTCTACCTTAATACAAAAAGAAAGCGGCCCAATCCTCCTTCTCCTACAGAGCACTGCAATTGTGGAAGACCTCCCGCACACTTTCAAATCTTCCCCAAGCCTAAAGTCCTTTAAGAGATCCCTCTCTATATACCTCAAAACAGAATGCACCTGTCATGTTTTATTATATATTTCCTACCTGTTCGATGGTAAATTTTGTATCTATTGTGTATTAATATTGTTTTTGTATTTTATTGTACCATAATGTTTTGTGGACCCAGGACATACTCCAGGAGTACCAGGAGAAAAAAGGGCCAGGAAAGAGTATTGTGCACGTGTTTGGAGCCTGCTTGTGAGATTGCGTGTGTGTAGAGTGAGCTGATTGTGGTGTGATGTTGTGTAAATAGGTCGGTTTTAGTTGTGTTGTGTTTGAGGGGTAATGTGTGGCAAGGGGCTGTAGAAAGTGTGAGTGTATAGGAAGCATACTGTGTGTAAAGGTTGTAGAATGTGTGTGTTTAGGGAATGTAGTATGTGTTTGCTTAAATGGAATTTAGGTGTGCATAGGGGATTCAGAGTTTGTATGTCAGGAAGGTAGTGTGTGTGAAGGGGATCTATTGTGTGTTTAAAGGGACATTCCAGGCACCCAGACCACTTCTGCCCATTGGCGTGGTCTGGGTGCCATCTCCCACTACTCTTAACCCTGCAAGTGTAATTATTGCAATTCTTTATAAACTGCAATAATTACATTGCAGGGTTAACTCCACCTCTAGTGGCTGTCTACTAGACAGCCACTAGAGGGCACTTCCTTGTCCACAGCACAGAAAACCTGTGCTAGAGCGTTGCTGGACATCCTCACACTGTGTGAGGACCTCCAGCGTCGCTCATTTCCCCATAGGAAAGCATTGAAAAGCATTTTCAATGCTTTCCTAAGGGGGGCTCTAATGTGCATGCGCGGCATTGTTACGCATGTGCATTAGGTCTCCCCGGCCGGTGGACGGGATCAGTCTTGCCCACCGGCCGACGCAATCACTGGGAGGAGCAGCGGAGGAAGAAGCAGCGACGTGGGACATGTCTCTGCCTCTGGTAAGTAACTGAAGGGGTTTTCATCCCTTCAGCAACCAGGGATTGGGGGGTGGGATTGAGAAGGAACCTGCAGTGCCAGGAAAATGTATTGTTTTCCTGGTACTGGAGTTTCCCTTTAAAGGACCCAGAGCATGATTGCCATGATGGTAATCTCTAGTGTGTGTTTGTGTGTATAGAGGATTCAAAGTGTACATAGGGATTTAGTGTGTGTAGATAATCTAGAGTTATGTGAGGGATCTAGTGTGTGCCTGGAATGTAATGTGTGTATGAGGGGTGCTGTGTGTGTGTGTGGGGAGCAGTGTGTGTGAGGGGTGGTGTGTGTGAGGGGTGCAGTGTGTGAGGATGTGGTTTGTGTGAAGGGGCGCTGTGTGTGAGGTTTCTGTGTGTGTGTGAGGGGTGCTGCGTGTGAGGGGTGCTGCATGTGAGGGGTGTGTGAAGGTGATGTGTGTGAATATGTTTGAAGGTATTGTGTGTGAGGGAGATAGATTAATGTAAATATATTTTTAAAAATTTTAATTTTAATTTAAAAAGCAGATTCAGAGTGTATATAGGGATCTAGTGTGTGTCTGGAATGTGATGTGTGTATGGGTGCAGTGTGCATAAGGTTATCAGTTTGTTTAAGGTTGCAGTGTGAATGAGGGATGCAGTTTGTGTGTGAGGGGTGCTGTGTGTGAGAGGGTTCTGTGTGTGTGTGGGGGGGCTGTATGTGAGAGGTTCTGTGTGTGTGTGAGGTGTGTGGTGTATGTTTGAGCGAGCAGTGTGTGAGGGTGATGTGTGTGTGGTGGGTGCTGTGTGTGAAGGTGCTCTGTGTGTATGTGAGGGGTGCAGTCTGCGAGGGATGCAGTGTGTGAGGGTGCTTTGTGTGTATGTGAGGGTGCTGTGTGTGTGTGAGGAGGCTTTGTGTGTGTGTGAGGGTGCGGTGTGTGTGAATATATTTGGAGGCATTGTGTGTGTATGGGAGAGATAGATTAATGTATATATTTTGATTTTGATTAAAAAAGCGTAGTATCCCCCCTACCTTCTTACCTTTTGCCAGGGGCTGGGACCGTGTTGCCATCCCTAGTGGTCCTTGTGGTGAGTGAACTCTAGCCTGCAGGGCTAGAGTTCACTCTCGCGAGATTGGAGTATTGCCATGGTAACTGCAGCAATGCTCCGACCCTGCAAGAGGAACCCGGCAGAGCTGCTGGCCAGAGCTCCCCGGGTTCTCTCATCTTGATCTCCCCTGCCGGCCTCGGCCCATGAAAATAATCACGTGGAGAGACACAAAAGAAAAAAAAAACAACTCAGAGCATTTTGGATTTTCAGTCTTCAATAATAAGAATATGCACCTACCTATAAAACCAAAGCATGTCCATTTACCACAACATTTTTTCAAATTCATTTTGACACCGTGAAAATATATGTTTCATTCTTGAGCGTCTACCCCTTCATACTAATACTGAATATATGCTCATTTTCCAGTAGACACTTAGGATCTAGTTTTGCATGCATGAGAATGTAAAAAACAGCTAATTTACACACCTGACAATCTACCCATTATCCTTGAACAATTGCTTATTCCTACTAAGAACTTAAAATTAAATTTCGTTTGAATCTTCTCATTCACCTTGAGAATCGTGAGGTAGACTCGCAGTACCCATTGTATAGCGCTACGAAATTTGCTGGCGCTATATGAAAAATAAAATAATAATAATAATAATATAAGCTCATTAGATATAGGATGACACCCTGAGCGTTCTCTGCTTGAACATAATTGATGTTTTGACTTCAAATTTCCTGTTCTCTCTTTAAGTGCCATATTTGTGTGATTATAAATAAATTCTATAAATTACTATTGCATTTTATATTTCAGGTATGTAGAAGAAAAGTGATTGTTGTCATAGCACTAATGTGTACATGCCTTGTGATTTGGGGTATTTTCGTGGAGATACATTTTCTGAATGTCTGCACCATTTGCTATCAAGGTGATTCATATTATAACATCAGCCTTGAACGTAATGAGACATTTTTCACACTTCTACCAAATATAAACTGCAAAAAGAATCCACCTTTTCTGGTTCTGCTAATAACCAGCATCCATGATCAACAAGCTGCACGAATGGCAATCCGACAATCATGGGGAAAGCCGAGAACAATCCAAAAACAGAATGTGGTTGCCTTCTTTCTTCTGGGTTCCAGTGTGATAAGGCAACATGAAGACCAAGCCAATCTTGTTGATGAACACAATAAATACAATGATATTATTCAGAGGGATTTTATTGATGCATATTACAATCTAACCCTTAAAACTGTTATGGGACTTGACTGGATTCATCATTTTTGTCCAGAAACAACCTTTGTAATGAAGACAGATACAGATATGTTTGTCAATACAATATATCTTGTCGACTTGCTTCTACGGAAAAAATTAACAGCAAACTTTTTTACTGGTTTCTTAAAACCAGATGAATATCCTATACGTAACATTTTTAGCAAGTGGTATGTAAGTAGACTTGAATATCCTTATTACAAATATCCACCATTTTGTTCAGGGACGGGTTACGTATTTTCTGTAGATGTGGCACTGAAGATCATCAACATGACATCAATTGTACCATTCTTTAAACTAGAGGACGTCTATGTAGGATTATGCTTGGACAAACTTAAAATACCTTTACAGGAACTTCATAACAAGCAAACCTTCTTTCCGGAACGGGTGTCTTTCTCAGTGTGCAACTACCGAAATATCGTAACTTCCCATGGAGTACAACCGAAAGACATTCTACTTTATTGGGAAGCCATGGAGTGGTCAGAAACTGAAAAATGCTAAAAAATAAATAAAAATAAAATAAATAAATAAATAAAATAAAAAATCACTGCCCTTAAATGTTACCAATGTTAATCAACATCACTTGCCTCTCTGATGTGGAAAAGGACCTAGCCTTATAGTATCTTTCCAAAATAAACACAATGTCAACGTGAATGTCTTTTGTCTCAAGTATAATCTGTTTGCACGTTAGACATGTTACGAGTTATTGATGGCAAGCAGCTTTTCGGTCATTAACATACTATTTTATTTATACTAAAAAAAATTGGCCAGAATCAGTTTCATTTTGTTTTATATGGCTTGCGTGTTGTTATATATATAGGGAAATCCCAAGACAAGTGGAAACATTTTGCTGCTCATACGTTATCAAACGTTATAATCACAGCTTGGCTACTTTTGCCTATATTTCATAATTAGGTTTTCAATTACTTTCTTTTCTGTGTTTTGTGCTAAGCTGATAATAGATCATTGCATTCTCCAACCATCATAAATAAACAAATCTAAACATTATATTGCATATTACTTAAAAACTGCCTTCTGCAATCTCCTCTGACAAAACTATGTGACTTAATTGCTTTTAATAAAATATGACCATTTGTTATAAAAATGAATAAATGTTTTTGCCAGAAGACTTCTGGCAAAAACATTTAATTATTTCAAGTCAAATAGCCTTGTTAGAGCAGATTGCTTAACCCATTTTTCTCTATGTTTAAATTGACATTCCAGAAATATTTTATACTGTTATATAGTTGGGCAGAGGAAAACGTTATTGTTAGTAGTAAAAGTTTGTATTCCCACCACTAAAGTGTTCCTTTAAACAAAACTGTTTTGACCTACAGATCATGCCCCTGCAGCATCACTGCTCAATTCACTGCCTTTTAGGAGTGAAATCACTTTCTTTATGCAACCCTAGTTACATCTCTCAGTTTAATTTCAAAATAGCCAAACTGGAATTAGTCAGCTATGCTTTCAATTCTGTCACTCAGGTTTTAGTCTTGAAATTCACTTTGAATTCTCACTGTAGTAAATAATCCTGTATGTGAACACTCATAATTATCTGCATTTGAAAAAAAGAAAGTGTAAAAATTGATTGTATCTATGTGTGATATTAGGGAAAATTTATTCATACTTACCGTAATTTTCTTTTCCTGGCTATTATTCATGGCAGCATTTAACATATGGGTTTAGCTCCTCCCTCTAACCCTCAGGACAGGAAACACAATCAATTAAACAATTCTGCATACCTTCCCCTTGTATAATAGGAACCCCATCAGCCATCACACCTCAGTCAAGTAACAAGAAGCATATCCAATAGAGGGTGGGAAACCAAATGCTGCCATGAATAATAGCCAGGAAAAGAAAATTACGGTAAGTATGAATAAATTTTCCCTATTCCTGGCTAATCATGGCAGCATTTAACATATGGGATTCCCCAAGCAATAACAACACAGGGAGGGAAATGCATGCTACAAAAATAGTTTAATATAGAGATCACCTATGAGGATTAAAGGAGTTCAGGACCGACAGGCCAAACTCCGAATCCGAGCGGGAAGCAATATCCACTTTGTAGTGATTTACAAAGGTCTTTAGAGAAGACCAATTGGCAGCCTTACAGATGCTCTCTGCAGGAACTCCTGACTCTGCAGCCCATGAAGTAGCGATAGATCTTGTGGAATGAGCCCTGATGTTTTTCGGAACAGGAACACCACACGCTCCATAAGCCTTGGAGATAGCCGAAACCGTCCAGGAACGAAGAGTGGAGACTGAGGCGGCTTCACCTTTGCGAGAACCCCAAGGTATAATGAATAATTGAGAGGATTTCCTCCAAGCAGCAGAGCGTTCTATATACATCAGTAAACATCTACGAAGATCCAGCATATGACACCTTGATTCCTCAGGGGTAGAAGGATGCTGAAAATAGGCAGGCAAGATAATTTCCTGATTGAGATGGAAAGATGTAACAACCTTGGGAAGAAATTCAGGCCTCGGTCGGAGAACGACCCTATCATCAAAGAATGAAGTGTAAGGTTCCTCGGCTGATAAAGCTCTGATGTCAGACATTCTTCTGGCAGAGACTAGAGCCAGTAATAATAGAGTCTTCTGAGAAAGGATCTGCAAATGTATGCTCCCAATAGGTTCGAAGGGAGACTCCGTTAGGGCCTGCAGTACCAGAGGCAAATTCCAAGGAGACGCCAGTTGTCTGATAGGAGGTCTAATCCGTACAACGGCCTTGAAAAAACGAACCACCATAGGATGAAGTGCCCATCGAATGCCAGAGAGAGCCGAGATAGCTGAACAGTGAACTTTCAGGGTGTTAAGACTAAGACCCTTCTCCAGGCCCACTTGTAGAAAACCTAAAACTTGAGAGACTGTAGGAGTACCCATGTTCTGTATAGAAGAATTTAACCAGACCGCAAAGGCTTCCCATATTCTGTGGTAAGTAGATGAAGTGGAGATCTTCCTGGAACATAAAAGGGTAGCCACCACCTGTTCCGATAAGCCCTGTTTCTTCAGGGATTGCCTTTCAGAAGCCAAGCATGAAGCCTGAGCTTGTAAGGTTCTGGATGAACCACTGGGCCTTGTGTCAGCAGATTCTCCGAGACTGGAATCTCCCAAGGATCCTCCAATGCCAACCTCCTCAGAAGAGGAAACCAAGGGCGTCTTGGCCAGAAGGGGATCACTGCAATCACCCTGCAACGTTCTCTGGAAATCTTCCTCAGAACAGCTTGAATGAGAGGAACTGGGGGAAAGACATATACCAGATGAAAGTGCCATTTGATTGAAAGAGCATCTTGATCCAGCGCCCTCGGATGGAATCTCCTTGAAACAAAACAAGGAACTTGAGTGTTCTGAGCTGTAGCCATGAGATCCACTTGGGGAAGACCCCACCTCTGGACCAATTGCTGAAACACCGTCCTTGACAGGTGCCATTCCGTGGCTTCTACCAGGTGTCTGCTGAGGAAGTCCGCCAAGACATTCTCCTTTCCTGGAAGATAGACCGCACGTAGACCTTCCACATGTATTTGTGCCCAGGTCATGATTGCTGATACTTCTTTCATCAGTGAAACACTCCTGGTGCCGCCTTGATGGTTGATATAGGCGGCAGCCGCTCTGTTGTCCACTCTCAACTTCACCCAGGCTCTTTTGATCAGATGCCGAAAATGAAGAAGAGCCAGAAACGTTGCTCTCAATTCCCTTATATTTGAAGGCAGGTGCTGAGCATTCTGAGTCCATTCTGCTTGGACAAAGGAATTTCCCAGATGAGCACCCCAACCGAACTGACTGGCATCTGTCGTGATGACTACCCAGTCGACCTCCTTCAAAGGAAAACCTCTGGAGATGTTTTCTTCTTTCATCCACCAATGAAGCTTCCTTTTCAGGCTGAGAGGAATGTGGATCTGCTTCTCCCAGTCGTCTGAGCTGGATTTGAAGTTTTTCAGGAGATGCTGCTGAAGAGGACGAAGATTCCAATGCGCCCATCTGACCAGGTCTATAGTAGAGGTCAGGGTACCCAGGAGTTTCATAAACTCCCTTGCGGAAGCAGAAGTCTTCTGAAGAAAAACCTGCATCCGATCCTGCAGCTTCAATTTTCTTTCTTGGGCGAGAGATACCATCGCATTGAGGGTATTGAAGCATGCTCCTAAGAACACCAGCTCCCTTGAAGGTTTTAAATGACTCTTCTCGTGGTTGATTAGCCACCCAAACCGAGAGAGAGTCTCGAGTACTAGATGTCTGTGTTGGAGTAACATCTCGAAGTCTGAGGCCACTACCAGAATGTCGTCGAGGTAGTGGTAAATTGCTACATCCATCTTCCTCAGGAAAGCAATTACCGTGACCAGTATCTTTGAGAAGGTTCTCGGGGCCGTACTTATCCCAAAGGGAAGAGCCTGAAACTGGAAGTGCTCCCCTTTTACACAGCATCGAAGAAACTTCTGATGTCTTTCTGTGACCGGAACATGGAAGTAGGCATCTTTTAGGTCTATTGAGATTAACCAGTCTCTGTGGTGAATCACTGGAATGATGGAACGGATGGATTCCATACGAAACTTTCTTATCCTTAAGAAGATGTTGAGCTGGTGTAGGTCTAGAATAGGTCTCCACTTTCCTCCTGGTTTCTTTACTAAGAACAGGGGAGAATAGAACCCTTGGAACCTTTCTTTCACAGGAACCGGGACAATGACCCTTTCCAGAAAAAGATTGGCAACATAATGGGTCAAGACTTCTCTTTTTTGTCTGTCGACAGGGAGTCTTGTTCTGATGAATCTTGGTGGAGGGGAAATATCTTCGAACTCCAGAGAATATCCTGCGGTGATTACGGAATTCACCCAAGCATCTGGAATCACACTCCAGGTCCTCCAGAAGAACGAAAGGCGTGCTCCTACATGGGGAACCTGGTATAAGCCACCTTCAGAACTGTCTGGTGGGGCGAAAGGAGGAATTTTGAGCCTTTGGTCTGGAAGATTTTCCGGTTTGACCACTCTTCCAATTGGAGAGCCGAGCATATTCTCTGCCTGGACGATAGGTTTTACTATCTCTATATCCTCCCTGTGGCCTGTAAGGACGATGGTCCTGTTGTGGTCTTTTTGGACGCCTGTCCTGTGGAAGCAAGATTTGCTTGACCTCAGCCGCTCTTTTAATCGCCTCCTCAAGTGGTCTGCCAAAAAGCACCTCTCCCAGAAATGGCAAGGTACACAAATTATTCTTGGAAGATAGGTCAGCTCCCCAGGATCTCAACCAAAGAGCCCTTCTGGCAGTAACCGAATGAGCCATAACCTTGGAAAAAATCCTGATAAGATCTGTGGAGGATTCCAACAGCCAATCACTGGCCAGTTTGATCTCCTTCAAGGAGTCCGTCATGCGACGTCTACTCACACCTCTCTCAATATCCTCTTCCAAATCAAGAATCCATGAACGTAATGCTCTGGACAAAGCAGAGATAGAGACTGCTGGATGACAACCCAAGCCTGCTGTAGTGAAGACCTTAGAAAGATCTGCGTCAATTCTCTTATCCATGGGTTCTTTGAGAGAAGCATTACTATCAATCGGAAGAGTTGATCTTTTTGCCACCTTAATAATTGGAGCATCCACTTTAGGGATCGCTGTCCACATTCTTGAATCCTCCTCCTTAATCGGGTACAATTTTGATAATCTACCCTGACTTGTAATCCTTTTACCAGGAGTAATTCCATTCTGAACGAATCAGTTCCTTAATGGATCTGTGCACTGGAAAGGAAGGTTTCCTCTTATGGAGATCTCCGAAGTGTCTATCAGAAGTAGAAACTTCCCTGACTTCTTCTGGCAAATCTAGAGTCTTTCTCACTGCCTTGATTAGATGCTCCATCGCCTTTGTGTCCAATGAACACGGTTGTTCCGTGGACTCTTCCTCACTAGAAGAGATAAGCTCCAAATCCAAGGAACCAGCAGGATGTCTGAAGTCATTTTCAGATAGGTCGGATTCTTGGCCAAAGCTCTCACGCCTGGGTCTTTTGCCTCTATTGGATTCTGAAATCCCTTCCGCCACTGCTTGCTTAATCCAATAAGCTATATCCTGAGATGAGGACGTAGAGGCTTGAGGAGACCTGCGATG